ACACAAACAGTGGGGAGACAGATGTCGAGGAATGCCAAGAATCGCCGCAAATACCAGAAACTAAGAGAGAGGTTCACAGAAGGAATCTATACAGCCTAGACCCTGATTTGGACTTTTAGCCTCCAAACCCATGAGCAAATAAATTTCTGTTCTTTAAAGCCACCCACTTGTGGTATCTCTGTTACGGCAGCACCAGGAGACTAAGAAGACACTCAACAGCTGTTTCTAATCCTCCACCACCCTGGCAGCAGCACTACACAGGCACGGTGCTTCTAGGGGGAACTGAGACAAACAGCCCCATCACCATCTGACCTGGATAGGCTAGAAGAGGGGCTTAGTAGAGGTTCCCAGACCTTCCAAGAGTCTGGCCACCTCTCACGAGGGCTCTAGCAGGTCCCTGCCAGCCCAGAACTGTTGGACTCAGTACGTGGTAGAGACTAACATCTTGGATGAGGGAAGGAGAAGGTTCTCCACTGAGAGAATGAAAAACTGGGACAGGGACAGACGGGGGACCTCTCCAGCACCTCCAGACAGGCTCTCAGCACTTCTCACCCCGACCCCTAGCTTGGCAGCAGACTCACTGCCTCATTCATTCATTCACTCACTCTCACATGCCCACTACTCGCTGGATACCCAGTGGTGGGTTGACAGCCAGAACCGTCCAATTTCAAAAGCACTGTCTGTAATGCCACAGGATACTGAAAGGAGCCCCCAAACCACTGATGAGGTAGGGTTCGTGGGTCATCTGAGCCCCCTCTTCCATTCTCAGTTAATCTGAAATCCCCAAGGAAGACAAAAAACAAAACAAACCCATTGCCATCTAGTCGATTCTGACTGATGGCAACCTCATGAGTTACGGAGTACAACTGTTCCATAGGGTTTTCTTGGCTGTAATTTTTACAAAAGCAGACCACCGGACCTTTCTTCTGTAGTGTTGCTGAGTGGGTTCAAACTACCAACCTTTAGGTTAGTAGTCCAGTGCAAACTGTTTGTGCCATCCAGAGAAGACAGTGGGGTGTTTTTCTGGTTTGTTTGGGGGTTTGGTTTGTTTGTTTTGTTTTGTTTTGGACATGCATAAACTCGTTTAGTTTATTGCAAGGTGGTAATGGCAAAGTATGCAAGTAGGACCTCACAACATTCATTTAGAACCTGAGAATCCGAATTAACAATTACAATGTTAGTTCAATGATTAGAGTCCAAATCTTCAGACTTCAGGCTTTTACTTTGTTTTTTTTCCTAAATTTTATTTATTTTGTTGTTGTTGTTGAGAATATACACAGCAAAACACACCAATTCAGTAGTTTCTACCTGTACAATTTAGCGACATTGATTACATTCTTCGAGTTGTGCGACCACTCTCACTCACATTTTCTGAGTTATTCCTCCCTCATTAACATAAACTCACTTCCCCCTAAGGTTCCTATCTAATCTTTTGAGTTGCTGTTGTCAGTTGGATCCCATATAGATAGTTCTTAAAAGAGCCTGATGCTCAAAACCAAACCCATTTCTGTCGAGTTGATTCTGACTCATAGCAACCCTACAGGACAGAGTAGAACTGCGCCGTAGCGTTTCCAAGGAGCAATTGGTGGATTCGAACAGCCAACCTTCTGGTTAGCAGCTGGGCTCTTAATCACTGCACCACCAGGGCTCTGCTCAATACAGGCCTTTTTTACTAGTTAAGCTAACTACTGTTCTGTTTTAAGATGACTTCAAGGGATATTTTTGGTTTAAGGTTTAAAGATTATCTAAGGGCAATAATTTCAGGGGTTCATCCAACCTGCATGACTCCAGCAAGTCTAGAGTCCGTGAGAATTTGTAATTCTGTTCTGCATTTTCTCCCTTTTGACCAGAGTTCTTCCATAGAATCTTTGATCAAAATGTTCAGTAATGGTAGCCAGCACCATCCAGTTCTTCTGGTCTCGTGGCAGAGGAGGCAGTTGTTCATGTAGGCAATTAGCCACACATTCCATTTCCTCCTCTATTACTGACTCTCCTTCTTCCTCTGTTGCTCCAGGTGAATAGAGACCAATTATTGTGCCTTGGATGGCCACTTGCAAGCTTTTAAGATCCCAGGCACTACATAACGAACTAGGAGGTAGAACAGAAGCACTGAACACATTATTAGGGCAATTAACTGAAATGTCCCATGAAACCATGACCCTAAACCTCCAAACCAAGGAACGAAATCCCATGAGATGTTTGGTTGTACATAAGCAGGCTCAGCAGCTACTCTTTTTTTTTTTGGTTGTTGTTATAAATACATCTATTGCACAACTTTGGCCAATTCAACTTTTTACAGGTGTACAACTCTGGTTTGCTTGTTTTTAATTAAAAGTAGCTTTGGTACCAACCCAGAAAACATTCCCATATCCTGCTGTGTTCCAGGGAAACTGAGACGATGAGGGAAGTCCAAGGAGGCCTGAGATTCAGGTGGTGGTCCAAAGGTGGAGATCAAAGCCAGAGTGTTCTTAGCCGGGATAAGGTCATCTGTGTCAGCTCGTGGGCCCAGTTTCTGCACCCCACACCTGCTTCCACTCCCAGGCTCTATGGGGGCAGCACGGGGGATGCCAGCTGGGCCAGGAGCTGGGACACACGGGTTTAAATCCACTTCCACACCTTCATCAGGCTGAGTCTCATGTTTCTCAAGAGCTCAAACTCTGGAGCCAGGCTGCCCGAGTTCAAATCCCAACTCTGCCACTTCTACCAGTGTGATTCTGGCAAGTCACTTAACCTCCCCAAGTCTCAGTTTCCTCGTCTGGGAGACGGGGATGTTAACTGTGCCTACCTCATAGAGAACTGAATGAGTTCACATATGCAAAGGGTTTCGTATGGTACTGTCATGGTTTGAATTATATCCCCCAAAAAATGTGTGTATCAGTTTGGCTGGGCCATGATTCCCAGAATTGTGTGGTTGGCCTCCATTTTGTGATTGTAATTTTATGTTAAAGAGGATTAGGGTGGGATTGTAACACCACCTTTACCCAGGTCACATCCAATGTAAAGGGAGTTTCCCTGGGGTGTGGCCTGCACCACCTTTTCTCTCTCAAGAGATAAAAAGAAAGGGAAGCAGGCAGAGAGTTGGGGACCTCATACCATCAAGAAAGCAGTGCCGGGAGCAGAGCACTAGACAACTGAGACAGGTACCTAGCACACAGACAATACTATATAAGGATTTGCTGCTATTGTTATCTCTGTACAATGGTCCTAATGATACGGCCCTCCCCTGTTGCCTTGCCGACCACCGATGAGGATTAACGGAGAACAAGGATGAGAAGAGTCATGAAGGGTTAAGTATGGCAGGACACCAAAGAAGACTCGGACACCCCCCGCCACCTTGCAAAGACTCTGTCCACCTGGAAGGTCATCTCTGCTCTGCTGCCCAGATCTCACGCTTGGCCTCACTGAGAAGCTGCTGTCCCCATTCACTCTTTAAGTATTCCCTGGGGCTCTGGCCTGTGCCCAGCCCTGTGCTGGGCACACAGAGAGCTCCTCGTGGAGTTCACTGGCTGGTGACAGAGATGGACATGCCAGTCCACCACATTATCCAGTGTGACAAGGCACTAACACAGAGGCTCACAATGCAGTGAGCAATCTGGGATGGCTTTCGAGAGGAGGCGACATCTGAGCTGAGCTCTGAAGGGAGACAAGTTAGCAGAAGGGGGTATATCCTAGCAGAAGGCACAGTAGGTACAAAAGCACGGAGGAGAGAACAGATCTGCTACACCCAGGCAGTGGCAGTGACTGCCACAGAGAATGCAGAGGGGTAGGATGGCAGAGAATGAGAAGGAAGAGGTAGGCAGGGCCCAGATTAGCAAGATCTTTTTGTACCAAGTAAGGAATGTGAATGCCATACTGAAGGCAGCAGTCTAAGCAGGTGAAGAGTAATCACATTTAGCTTTTAGAAGCATGCCTTCTGTGTGGAAGGCCGATTGGAGGGCTGCACCTGGGACAAGGGAACCAGGGCAGAGAAGGTGCCCTGGGCCGGGTGAAGTTGCAGAGGACTGAGCTGAGTGCTGGTCTTACAGATGGAGGGGGAGAACAAATAAGAGATTTCTTTATTTGCCCTTGCCCCTTTTAAAAGGGGAGCCCTGGTGGCGCAGTGGTTAAGAGCTTGGCTGCTAACCAAAAGGTCGGCAGTTTGAATCCACCAGCCGCTCCTTGGAAACTCTATGGGGCAGTTCTACTCTGTCCTATAGGATGGCTGTGAGTTGGAATTGACTCAACAGCAACAGGTTTGGTTTTGGTTTTCTTCTAAAAGGCTTTTCTTGAAAAACATTCTCAGAGGACATCCACCCTACGCCCAGCACGACCTCTGCCAGGATGTCCTGATCCTTCTCCGTTCAGATCAAAGAACCTGCCAGGCGCCACCGTGAACCTGGGTCTGTCTCATGCCTCAGCAACTGATCTCCACTCCGAAGTCTCTGTTAAGAGGTTCCACAGAAAGTTCTTTGTGAGGCCACCTTGCAGGACACTTTCCCACAGCCATTATTGGTCCTGTGCTTGCTCTCCCGAGGAGGTTATCATCCCCGAGAACCCCAAGCCTCATGCTGTCACGCTCATGTTGTCACACTCATCGCACGCACACCCCTCACCCTGTAACTTCTACCAGCTCCAGGGCCTTGGAGCCTGAACTCTGAGAGTTAAGCACAGCAGCGCCACAGAGCTTGCATGTCCGGAGAAGGAGAAGCACGCACACACCTCCGCAGGGAGAAGCGCCCGCCCCCAGACGCAAAGCACTTGCCGAAGAGGATTCCACGTCACACAGGCAGCCCTGGGGCATCTAATGGCCCCTGGGGTTTGCTTTTGGATCGTTGTTTATAATAAAACCCAGGATTCTGCAAGTTCTCCTTCCAAAGAGAGCTAGAAAATGGCCCGTGGAAAGCGCAAGAGAAGATGCCAAGCTTGTGACTTCAAATGGAAACTTCAGCCCTCTTTCTGGAGCCCCAGCCTCCAATCCCCTCCCCTTTGCCTTCGGTCTGCCCCTAGCCCTCCATCCATACCCTTCGCAGGTGATTTCCAACATTCTGGATCATGGCCATGGGGTCCCCGTGGAACAGCACCGTTAGTGGGAAGCAGCACCTTCCAAAGAGACAGCTACTGGTCACCGGAGCCACAGCCAGGCTCGGTGCTAAATGAAGCCTACAGCCTCTCTCCTGCTCCTCCTCCCAAGTGCCCGCCCCTCCTGAGTCCAGCTGTTATCACAGAGTGTCCTGGCCTCTCCTCAGACCGCCCTCTGCCCCCTCCTCCTGGAACCCTGCACACAAGGCTCCTGTGCCCGCCTGCAGGGAGGAGAGAGGCTGCCAGCTGGGCCACAGCCACGCCAGGGGGCCCTGTGCCCACCCACTGGGCACCTGGCCAGATGCTCTGCCTCCAGCCATAGCCAAACTTCAGTTACCCCCACTTCCAGCCCCCACCGCCCTCCTCACGGGGTCTCTTGGCTCTGCAACCGCTCCCAAGGTCCAGGAGGAGGTGGCTCCAGCTCCCGGCCCTGGCCAGTTAAGACTGGCAAAATGGGCACCATCCATCTGCAAGGGGTCAGGCCAGAAGGTGGCAGGAAGCCAGAGAGCTGCCAGCAGCCTCCCAGAGAAACACCAGACCCACCTGCTAGGACTCCTCACCCTTGGGAGTCCGCCTGCTCCGCTCCAGGCTGCTGGGATCTAGCAGCTGCTGGCTGGAGACAGGACATAGCTTTCATGTCCTTAAAATAGGCAGCACGACTTTTCTAAAAGTGTCTCCTGCCAAAGTCCACCCTGATGGCTATGCAGGGTTCACCCACCCCTCCCGGAGCACCCACCTCAGCCTATCTGTACCCACCACTGACGGAGACACCAGGATTTTCTTTTCTCCCTCTCACATCTGCAAAAGGCTTGAGGAGGAGGCCCTGCTACTCATGGTGGACTTTTCATGTCAAGACAGTAAAGTGCTTGGTGGGTAAGGGAAGAAGGTAAGGGGAAAGAGATCTGGGCCAGAGCCGCTGAGCGGACAAGTGGATCAGAAGGAATAATGAATGCCTCACAATAACTGAGCGAGCACTTACCATGTGCCAGGCCTCGTGCTTGTCCTCATCTCAACCCCAGCGGCGAGGTCCGTTGAGGAAGGTCACCTTGGGGAGGGTTGGTGATTGTGCAGGTGGCACAGCCAGTGAGTGCAGAGCCATGCTGGAAGAGAGGCCAGCCTGACCCTGAGGCCTCTGCCCTTTCCCTGTACCTCCTCGCGTCCATTTCCTTCACCACGTATCTAATAAATGGCCCTCCTGGGCAAGGCCTAAGAGACAAGGGTTCTGGGCCTTTACTGTGTGCCTCTGAGCAAGTTCCCTCCACTCTCTGGACCTCCCTGCTCCAGGAGTCAAGGTTTCTAATGTTCATTCCCATGAGCACAGGCCTTGCCCTCATGGAGCTTGTGGTCTGACTAGCAGTTCAGAGTCTGTAGGGGGAAATTAAACTAACACCTTAAAGACTGTAAGATGGTCTGAAAGGGTGCAAGAGTGGCACTGAGGACTGGGGCAATCCAGGAGGCTTCCTGGAGGAGGCAGCAGTAGAGTTGACCTGAAGGTTGAGTGGGTTTGGATTGAGAAGAGGGGTGAGGTGGAAGGCCTAACAAGAACAGGGCAGGATGCAGTCACAGGCAGTGAGGAGCCTCATGTTGGTGGCAAAAGCTGTGGCCCTGTCGTGGAAGACTTTGAATGCCAGGCAAGGTGGCTTAGGTATTAAGGAGCCTCTGAGAATGAAGAATATGACTGACATGATGAAAGCCATGTGAGGTGAACAATACAGGTGTCATGAGACCCCCTGGACTGGTAGGGAAACCCACAGGGGACAGGAGGGCCACTTATCATCCCACTGGATCCTTAAGATAACCTTGACAGGCAGGCAGCCAGGGTATATTCAGGGTCCTCACTATGGAGATGATGGAATGGGAGTCAGAAACAAACCACGAACTGTGGGCAGGTCACTGGGCCCCCAAACCTACCCCAAACCGACTCCAGAGGACCATATGTCTCAGACTCACTGGACTCAGAGTCCTAGAGAAGAGCCCTCAGATCAACTGGTCCCATTCCTCCATGTTACTACTACCAGTTGCTGTTGAGTCAATCCGACTCATGGTGACCCCATGTGTTTCAGAGTAGAACTGTACTCCATAAGGGTTTACAGTGACTGCAACCTTTCAAAAGTAGATCACCAGGCCTTTCTTCCAAGGTGTCTCAGGGTGAACCCGAATCGCCAACCCTTCAGTTAGTAGCTTAGCTCTTAACCATCTGCACCACCCAGAGACTTCTCCCCCACATTACAGATGATTAAATTGACACCCAGGGATAGAGAGTGAGCCACCGAAGGTCGTACAATACGAAAACTGTCCAGAATCACCTCTTCTGACCTCCAGTCCAGAGCTCTGTCCCCCACCTCACAAGACATAAAATGCAGGGAGACTTCAGTTAGACTTAAAAGAGGACTTCCAGCAAGGCTGAATCAACCTTACCTAAGAAACAAGCACCAGAGGACAGCTAGAACTTTCTGCCGAGGCCCCTCCAGTCCACAAAGGTCTCTCTCGCCTCTGAGCTATTTATCACAGCACTGACTCCTGTGCTATACTGACTTCATTTGCTCTGCATGACCTGTTACTCCAGAGAGTATTTCCATGGGTCTCTAACTTCCCTTTCCAACTTGCCTGGGACCCCTCCGAGGGCTGGGACCACATCTTACTCATCTCTATGTCCCCCGACTAGACCTCTGCTCAGGGCCCTGAATGCACGAGGTATGTAACACACAGTCTTAGGAAAGCAGATCAAGAAGAGGTCTTAGTGACAGCTAGGTCTATGGTTCTCAAACTTCAGCCTGTATCAGAACCTCCCAGAGGGCTTGTTAAAATACAGATTACTGGGCCCCATCCCAAGAGTTTCGAATTCATTGGATCTGAAGTGAAGCCCAAGAATTTGCATTTCTAACAAGATCCCAGTGCTCACACTGCTGGTCCAGGGACTACACTTTCAGAACCAATGAGCTAGGTCAACTCTCCCATTTTACAGCTGGGAAGAATAAGGCCCAGAGATTTTAAAGGCAGCACTTGACAGTATCATCATCACCATCATCGTCGTCACTGTCATTTCTTGAGCCCTTCCCACAGGCCCAGCATTGTGCTAAGATGTTACCAGCTTTGGGCATCATGACAGCCTTAAGAGATTATTATTCTCCTACAGAGAATACAGAGGTCAACAGTGTTAAGTCAGTTGTCCAAAGTCACACAGTTGGTCAGGGTTAGCACCAGGATTTGAACTCTGATCTACATCCGGAGCCCATGAGTTCAACTACCACTCTGCGAATCCTGCTTACTGTTTATGCTGACGTGACAAGAAGCAAGGCTCAAACTTCTCTAAACCAAACACAAGTTGCTGTTGAGTCCATTCCAATTCATGGCAACCCCATGTGTTGAAGAGTAGAACTGTGCTATATAAGGTATTCAAGGCTGTGACATTTCGGAAGCGTATCGCCAGGCCCTTCTTCTGAGGCAACTCCGAGTGAGTTGGAACCGCCAGCCTTCCAGTTAGTAGTCAAGCGCTTAACTGTTTGTACCATCTAGTGACTCCTTGAACTTCTCTAGAGGCTCCTGAATCCAGTAGGCTCATTTCCTGTGTGAGATGAGCTTGTTGTGCCCTCAGCCCAAAGGCCCAGCCCTCGTGATGGCCTCCAGTCCCGTGTCTAGAGAAAGCCTACCTCTTAAGCCCTGTGAACATGTAGTATTTTCTCCCACAAACACTCCTTTTCCCACATTACCTCCTTTTTCATCTAGCCCCACAGATGAAATATCTGCTAATTCTTCAGGCCCATGTCCCAGATCTACACCCTCCCTTCTGCTCCCCTAGCAAACTACAATGAAATAATCTCCATTTATAGTCCACAATGATACTGGGTGTCACTGCCAGGCATGGGTCCATCTTCTCCATCAGACTGAGAGTTCACAAGGGACCTCATCTGAGTCATCTGAGTTCCCACCACAGGGACTCAGAGACTAAGTGATGAATGAATGAGTGGTGGAGGGGCAACTGAGGGAATGAATGAGTGAATAAATAACCAAACCCCGAGGAATTCCCTCTGCTGGGATTTTTAGCCTTCCCAGATAGGACCACAGACTCTCCGGTAGGAGGGAACCTCTGACATCATCCACTCCAACTCAACTTTCAGCACTGTCTTAGGTGGAACCCTCTATGGGCCAGAACTTACAGCATCCCCACCACTTACATCCCCTCCAGGACTGGAGAGCTCACTCTATGCAAGGCTCTGTACAGGTAAAGAGTTCTAATAGCTAGAAGGGTCTTGCCATCACCCCATGACCTCCACTCACAGTCCTGGCTCTGGGCCACCAGAATAAAGCTGCTCCCCTGGCCTGTGACAGCCAGCGGAGATGTCGGACCACACGTCCTGTCCTCTGCTGGGCCCTGGCCTCCTTATCCAGACTTATTTATTCTAATATTCTCCAGCCATGAACAGAACTTCCTACTGTTCTCTCACACACTTGGGGTTTCCTTTGTTCCTATTGTTCCCCCTACTCTGCTGTCCTTCCAATCGTCCACATCCCAACTCTGTCCACCATCAAGGCCCAGCTCAAATGCCACCACCTCCAGGAGGCTTTCTTGGCCTGTCCGAAATGAAGAGTGCATCCTCCTCCTCAGGACCCCCCGACACTCACACATACACACACACACTACTCACAGCCCTTTATTTCTCTCTTAAGCTTCTTCTCTTAAATTGTGCTGATTTGTGCTAATTTCTCCTTCTCGGCCTTGAGCAACTGGGCAGCAGAGATGTCATGTCCATTCATGAGAGTATCCTGTCTCCCTCCCACTCAGTGTTCAGGGCCTTGAACATAGCAGATGCTCAATAAATGTCCAGAGAATGAATGAATGAGTAATTGGATGTGAAAGAACAATGGAATGTGTGCGTGAATGGCAGTACATGCATGTGTAAATGACTGATCAAATGAATGAATGAATTCAAGAACGCTGCCATCCCCTCTTGTTCTCCAAGCCAAAGACTCCCAGTTCCTTCGGAGGCACTCTGGGCATGGCATGGCAGAATAAAGGAAGTTGTGGGATAAATGGGGGAGGGGAAACAAAGAAACCTGGTAGTGATACCAGTACAAGAGGAAGTGGAGGTGACCTAAACGTTGTTTCAAAGCCAGGCCTCTCTTGGAACTACAGCCCTTTGTGGGGAAGCTGGGGCAATGAGACCACTGAGAAGCAGGCTAGATGGTCCAGAGGAGAGAAGACCCAGCATGATGGGGATGGAGAGGAAGGAATACCAACAAGTCAAGGAGGCCAGATTCGGACGGATGAGCAGAGTACTGGGCCTGTCCAGCCCAGCCCTGAATGCCATCCTACCTAGCTGGGACCCAAATATACCCTCTCCACCACCACCTCCTCCTCACCACCTCCTCTTGTGGGGGCTGGAGCCCCTCCTTGGCCCAGCCACTGCAAGTCTGGACCCAGCCTGACTTCCTAGGTAGAATGCCTGGGTTTGGCCCTTGCCAGGAGTTGCTCACAACCCAGGCCAGTGCTACCGCCACCTGGCCCCACACCACCCTCAAGTGAGCCAGCTTTGCCTGCACCCTCTCGTCTCTGGGTCTTGTGCCCCAAGGTCCTCCCCAGAGCCAGTCCCTGCTGCCTGCAGGGTGACCCCAGCTCTCCCACTTCCTGGCGAGAGG